ATACTCTATTTACTACGTGTCTCTCATTCCGTCGATTTCGCCTCCAATATCCGCGATGGCAATATGCGCGACCCAGGAGCAAGAATAGTTGCGCGCAGTCGTTTTACCGCTTTGCTGAGATGCCCCGCCAAGAGGCACTCGTTGCTTTACTCTACTTACTGCGTGTCTCTCATTCCGTCGATTTCGCCTCCAATATCCGCGACCCAGGAGCAAGAACAATTGTGCGCAGTTGTTCCACCACCTTCGTTTAGTAGTCTCGCCAAGGGACACTCGTTGCTGTACCTACTCAACTTACTGCGTGTCTCTCATTCCGTCGATTTCGCCTCCAATATCCGCGACCCAGGAGCAAGAACAATTGTGCGCAGTTGTTCCACCACCTTCGTTTAGTAGTCTCGCCAAGGGACACTCGTTGCTGTACTCAACTTACTGCGTGTCTCTCATTCCGTCGATTCCGCCTCCAATATCCGCGATGGCAATATGCGCGACCCAGGAGCAAGAATAGTTGCGCGCAGTCGTTTTACCGCTTTGCTGAGATGCCCCGCCAAGAGGCACTCGTTGCTATACTCTATTTACTACGTGTCTCTCATTCCGTCGATTCCGCCTCCAATATCCGCGACTCAGGAGCACGAACAATTGTGCGCAGTTGTTCCACCACCTTCGTTCAATAGTCTCGCTAAGAGACACTCGTAGCTGTACTCTACTTACTGCGTGTCTCACATTTCGTCGATCTCGCCTCCAATATCCGCGATGGCAATATGCGCGACTCAGGAGCACGAACAGTTGCGCGCAGTCGTTTTATGACTTTCGTTCAATGGTTTCACCTGGAGACTTTCGTTGCATATGCTTCACTTTACTGCGTATCTCTCATTCCATCGATTCCGCTTCCAATATCCGCGATGGCAATATCCGCAACTCAGGAGCACGAACGATTGTGCCTTGTTGTTCCACCACCTTCGTTTAATTGTCTCGCCAAGAGACCCTCGTTGCTGTACTCTACTTACTACGTGTCTCTCATTCCGTCGATTTCGCCTCCAATATCCGCGATGGCAATATGCGCGACCCAGGAGCAAGAATAGTTGCGCGCAATAGTTTTACCACTAACATTCAAAAGTCTGGCCTGGAGACATTCGTTGCTTATAGTTTACTTTACTGCGTGTCTCTCAGTCCGTCGATTCCACCTCCAATATCCGCGATGGCTGTATGCGCGACTTCAGGAGCACGAACAGTTGCGCACAATAATTTTACCACTTTCGCTGTGGCCTGACGAAGAACACGTGTTGATTACTCTCTGGACCCAGGAATTTAGGTAGTCACTTATTTTGTCGACCATGTGCATAATTTTTGGATGGTGAATGGATTATTTATTTTTAAATGGGAAGGAACCCTATCCGCTAAAGCTGAAATATTTCTAAAATTTTTGAGTTGCAGGTTGAATTGAACATTTTTTTAGGCGCTGGGAAGAATGAAATTCTAATAAAATTATAGACTTTTTGGCCATTTATTTTTTTGCATTCCCGCTGGGCCGCCAAGGGTTGGGGCGATNGGGGGGGGGGGGGGGGGGGGGGGGGGGGGGGGTTCGGGTCTCCGGGTTTATGTCTACATCAATGGTAAAATCACTAAGCCACGGATGTCAGTTGACTACGTCGCAAATCTTGCGTCTCTATTTCTCCTGCAAAATGATCATCGTTTTCGCCCAAAATTGCGTTTGGTTTTTCGTTCTTTCAGCAATATTCTCTGAAAATGTGGGGCATAAATTCTGAGCAGCATCTTTTTGAAAAATATAATACTCACTAAGGGAAAATTTCAAAACGACAACCAAGACACGTTGTTTGGCATTTTCACTCTTGATTTAAGATCAGAGCTGCAAAATGATGTTTCGCATTAAATTTCTTTTTGCTGTAGAGTAAGTATTCATTTCCTGTGGAATTTCAACGATTTTTCGAGGTTTGCGAATGCAATAGGCAACAATCAACAAGAATTCAATAAGGAACTGCAAAATTTGACTCATGATATTTTCTTTTTTGAAATTCCAAAAGTAGGATTTTACTCGTATTACTGTGTCTATGCGTGTCATGGAATACTGCGAGTCCATTGCAGAACGTTTAAAACATTTCTCGAAAAATGAAATTTTATCTTGAAATCTCACGAAACATGAAATCATATCGTGAAATTTCACGGAACGTGAATTTTCAGTGTGTATTTATGAAATTTTGCATCCCTGTGTGATATAATCTGCGGAAAATTCACCGAAAGTTTTAAGGCGCTATGTCGATCGTTTGGTCTTCAATACAATAAGACAATGAAACTCGAGAAGAAACTTAACAACGTGAAAACATGCATTTCGATTAATTCTGGTAAAATTTCGCCCTTTTATCATCCCATTGAGGTATGCTTTTATCAAGTTCAACTTGATAGCCCAATCAGCGAACATTAGAGGGGGTGTTGCGCGGCTATTGGATGACGAGCGCTGAATCGTAGCGGAGCGCGAAATTCAAAATGTCGCGTGCATGATGCGCCTCACCACCCCCCTCCTATCTACCGGGTCTCCTGGAGCCTCCATACGAAGCTTGGTCCGCGCGATCAAAACCGGCCGGCTAAATAATGTTGAAGCAACGTCACTTCAACAGTGTTATGTCAACGTTGCGAAATTTCTTTTCGCAATTTTTATTTTTACTCGGAAACATATGAAATTTTTTCTTTGAAAATTTCACAGATTTTTCCATGGATTATTCAACGAAATTTTGGATGGAAATTGTTTTGTATTTTGGTGTAATACAAAGATTGAGTAATTGGATTTCCCAACTTTAGAATGGAGATACCACAGTGGGTTTTAACTAAATCTAATTAAGAAAATGAAAGTCCCCATGTCTGAAAGCGGAAAAGTACAGCGAAACACCTCAGGAAAACATCCCCGTAGAAAAGAAAATCATTCGTTGGGCCGTCTTTTTTTTTCGCCCCCCCAAAGCCAAAATGGCGGCCGATATGCGCCTCTGCGGGGTGCAAATGTTACAACTCCCTCAAAATGTCAAGTGACACATCGATTCCTATGTAATTTTGGTCGTAGAATCCGAATATGAAGTCAGAAATCCCTCACGACTAAAAGGGATCGCGCAAATTCAAGATGGCGGCCAAAAATAGGCCCCGGAGTAAAAATTCTCAATTCCAGCTTTTGGTGACGAGTGAGATGTCTTTTTTTATGTTTTTTGGGTCATAGGATCCAAATTTGAGGTCAAAAATGCCCTTCTGGCCGACAGGGATCCCTCAAATCCAAAATGGCTTCCATTTTGGGGCTGACATATTATTTCCGAAAGACGCGTATAGTCGAGTGAGGTGTCTTTTTACATGTTTTTTGGACCACATGATCAGAAACTGGGATCCAAACTGTGTCCCTGTGGGCCGGAAGGTAAGATTTATCCCATAGCACCTTGATTGTATCGTTTTTATCAACTATTTTAATAAAAACTCAGAATTTCACTGTTTTCACTGTTTCTCTGTTTAAAGAAGATAATTTTTGTTTTGTTCCTATTTCTCTTGCCCTAGTTTTTTTGTGAAGCAGGGGACTATATCCCCTGCTAGGCAAAAAGTTCAAACATTATTTGTAAGAATAGAGCATTTTTGGTGGGGTTGGCGCCATTCTAACAGTGAAATTCTGAGTTTTTATTTAAATAGTTGATAAAAACGATACAATCAAGGTGCTAAGGGACAAATTTTACCTTCCGGCCCACAGGGACACAGTTTGGATCCCAGTTTCTGATCATGTGGTCCAAAAAACATGTAAAAAGACACCTCACTCGACTATACGCGTCTTTCGGAAATAATATGTCAGCCCCAAAATGGAAGCCATTTTGGATTTGAAGGATCCCTATCGGCCAGAAGGGAATTTTTGAGCTCAAATTTGGATCCTATGACCCAAATAACATAAAAAAAGACATCTCACTCGTCACCAAAAGCTGGAATTGAGAATTTTTACTCCGGGGCCTATTTTTGGCCGCCATCTTGAATTTGCGCGATCCCTTTTAGTCGTGAGGGATTTCTGACCTCATATTCGGATTCTACGACCAAAATTACATAGGAATCGATGTGTCACTTGACATTTCGAGGGAGTTGTAACATTTGCACCCCGCGGAGGCGCATATCGGCCGCCATTTTGGCTTTGGGGGGGCAAAAAAAAAACGGCCCAACGAATGATTTTCTTTTCTACGGGGATGTTTTCCTGAGGTGTTTCGCTGTACTTTTCCGCTTTCAGACATGGGGACTTTCATTTTCTTAATTAGATTTAGTTAAAACCCACTGTGATACATTATCCTTCGTCTGGGAAACTACGAATTTTGTCGGGCAGTATTATAATAACGTCCAGCAGCATTCCATCGTATTTTCGGCCGAAAACCAAAAATATTGTTTTGAAAATTGTTATTGTTTTGCCATTTTCTACGGGTAAAAGTGTTAGTCACTGTTGAGATATCATATTTAGGGACTTTTAGGGGAATTCGGCGAGTGATGCTGTCGGGCTACACATGGTAAACTGATGAAACCTTTAATTTGGATACTGAGGAAGTTTTGGTTTATTCACGATCGATATCTTATTTGTCTAGGGACTGTATTTTTGGTAATTTTTTGGACTGAAAACCTACCTCGTGATGATTATGGAAGGTGATGCTCCCTGCGAATATTGCGAGGCAGCATTATGACAAAATTACCGGTAATCGGTAACGTGTTAGGGGTATAAACGGGAGAATTTTACCAAAATTCTCTTTACCCTCTCTTTACAATGACGTAATTAAGCAGAAAACTTAACGTACTTTTTAAAAAAACTGAAAGTTATGGAGCAGTGAGGAAAGTGATCACATTTTCTTCAATTTTGCCTGCTCATCGTATACGCTTGACTTTTATGCTTATTTTTCCTGCGGCACCAATATGCATCAATCAAAATGGGGTTTAAGCACGTAGGTCTTCATATATATTAGTTTACTCATCGAGCCTTTTAATTTTTTTGTTAACAGTGGCGTGAAGCAGAGGAAGAAAGATGAGTGTGATTATTCGTTTGCAGAATTTGCCCTGGTCGGCCAACGCTGCGGACATACGAAAATTTTTCCATGGGCTCTCAATTCCTGAAGGTGGAGTTCACATTGTTGGCGGCGAGCAGGGTGATGCATTCATCGCTTTCAGGTAAGAATCGTATATCAATTGCCTCATCTCCGGAGAAAATTGACCATAAGTGCTGTACTTATAAACAGCACTTAAATATATTAAATTAATAAATGTAAAGATGATATTTAATAATCATTAGCAATCAAGAAGAAGAGGTAGAATAAAAATAATATAGTTAATAATATTTAAGTGCTGTACTTATAAACCGCACTTTGACTTTTGACTTTGTGAAGCTGTGCTTTTGGTATAAAGTTTGGATCATTGACAGTTTCAGTGTATTAGCAGTATGTGCCTTTCATGTAAAACTTAAAAATCATCTTCCATAAGTAGCTTTGGGGCCGTCTACTCAGTCAAATTGGGAATTCATATCGACAGTGAAACTACCAAACCACGTATCTCATTTTCGGTGTTTAAAAATCTCTGCCCCTGTTTTATTTTTCTTAAAAAGAGAAAAATCAACATCCTTTCTTGAAGTTTTCTCAGAATATACCTCTCACAAAGGAGGAAAATCAAGGACATTTTTAAGAATGGAAGTTGAGTGGTTCTCCTTTTAAAGAATAAAGTAAAAGAGGAAGTCTCCAACGTCGCAAACCGAGATACTTGATTTGGTAATTTCTATATCAATATTTCAAAACAAATGGTAAGTCTGGAAACTAAGGCGTTTACTGTGTAAAATTTAAGACTTTTAGGTCAGAGAGCACAAGCAAGGATGTTTTCATCGCCCAAGTATAACACATATCGCATTAAATTGCTATAGCATGATCAAATGAGGACAAGTAATTATGTTTCCATCACCCAAGGAGCACAGATTGCAATTAATTGCTACTACCTTCATGATAAAATTATCCTTATTGCGTTCTGCAGAGTTGAGTACCTTGAGTGCCATAGTTGAGGTACCTTTTCATCCATTGGAAGGGCTCCCCGTATTGAAATTAATCACATAAAGTGTCTACAGGTCTTGTAAGTCTCTGATAAGTCCGTAATTTTTATGACCTATCCCAAAGTCAAGAAAGGTCCTTAAATTTCACTTCTTGCCGCCGCCGTACTTCTTGGGGTTCTCATTAAAAGCAATTTTGTGATATTTTTGTCTTGTATTCATACTACTACGGCGGAAAGAAAGGCCTGAATTTTTTTGTCGAACTGTACAGTAAAATTGGAAAAAATTGCAATTTTATTTTGCACAGAAAATTACATTCAGTTTTCTCACACATGGATCATACTTCATTTGTCATCTAAAAATGGCTTTCATTCACCATATGATGTAAAAATATTGAAATTTATAAAAGGGGACAAATCACATCTCTCACTTCATTAAATCGTAAAATTAATTCAATATTCCATCATAATTTCATCGTTCTTTTCTTTTGTTACAGCACGGACGAAGATGCTCGCCAAGCCATGTTGATCGATGGTGGTAGGATAAATGAAGTGAAAATCAAGCTATTGCTGAGCTCACGATCAGAGATGCAGAAAGTAATCGAAACCGCGAGACAGCAAGCTTTGAACCTCCAAAACTACATGCAAATGCCTGCCCAACCCCCCGTGATGCCCACAATGCCGAACATGCAGAATCTCCAGAGCATGCAGATGATGCAACAAATGGCGCAACAGATGATGCCGATGGGAATCCCGCAGCAGCAAGTCCCCCTCGTCAATCAGTGGCCAGGACAAGTTCCTGGGTCCGTGAAAATGGGCCCTATCGGGATGGTAGCCCCAATGCCCAGCCAAGCCGCTACTCCCAATCAAAACCAAGGAGCAGAGAGAGACCCGTCGCCTCCTGTAACGTCAGAATTGGTCGTAGAAGGAGAGAAGGTGAAGTCTGATTCAGAGGACGAAAGCAAGAAAGGAAGCCATCGTGACCGTGACAGCTCTCACTCGAGATCCAGGTCTCGATCGAAAGAAAAACGAGATCGAAGGGACTCCCGTTACAGAGATCGCAGGGATCGCGATCGTGACCACGGTAGAGATCGAGATCGCCATAGGGACCGCGATCGTGACAGGGACAGAGATAGGGATCGAGACAGGGATAGGGACAGGAGGAGGCGCAGCAAAAGCAGAGATAGACACCGGGACAGGCGCCACAGATCCAGGAGCAGAGACAGGAGTCGTAGAAGTGAAACTTCGAGGGATAGAGATCGTGATCGACATGGGAGGGATAGAGACCGTGATCGCAAGAGGAGCTCTAGCAAAGAAGCGAACTCAGCTGTTACGACCAACGGAGATTTGAAAGGTATGGACCCTCAAGGAGAAACGCCGACTAACAACGGCACTTCAGTTACCAGTGAAAATCCACTAGCGGCTACACCTCAAGTGGCAAGTCAAGTTGCAGGTCTGCCGCAGCCCCCCGTGATGCTACATCCTGGTCTCGCAGCCGGGAACGCCTTCCCACCTATCCCGGAGCCTCCAAAAATGCCTGTCGTGTGGCCCGGTTTCCCCGGCGAGATGATGCCGCCAGCTGGCTTACCCCCTCAGCCCGGCACCTTGCCTGCTCAAGCGGGCACTCTGCCTCCACCGCCTATGTTCATGCCCCCTGATTTTTTTGTAAATAGTATGAACCTCCCGCCCAATATGCCCCAAGCACCGGCACAGGGAGAGCCGTCGAACCATGTAGGAGAGCGTAGTGACTCAAAAAAACAGGAATTGAACACACAGAAGAACTGTTGTGTTCAAATTCAAAATATGGCGAAGAGTGTTGGTTATGCTGACATTGAAAAGTTCTTCCAGGGTATGGAAATTGTACCCAAAGGTATTAAAATGATCAACGATGATGACGGGAATAGGTCTGGCCTTGCGTATGTTCGTTTTGTGCATGATGGCTTTAAGAATCAAGCACTGAAGCTGAATGGACGCCCAATGAAAGGGCAATGGAGAGAAACCAGAGTCAAAGTAACTCATCTGGATGACTATATTTACAATGAAGCAATCGATGATTTCCACCCACCTGAAAAGAAGCTGAGACCCGTTGGGCCAGTATTTGACACACTTAAACTCTCTCAACTACCACGATACACCAAAGAGAAAGAAGTTTTGGCTCTATTCACCAATGTAAGACCACGTAATGTCATCATCTATCCCAATAAACATCTTTGTGATGCGTTTGTTGAGTTCGAGAGTCCACAGGAGGCAGAGCTAGCTGCATCCCTTCCTTTGATGATGGGCAGGCATCATGTAGTTACTGAGCCTGTATTTGACAAGGATCCTAATCTTCACTTAAGTGCTGTCGGAAACAACATGTTCCTGGCCAATCAATCTGGACCAGAGATTCCACCCCCAAGGCAAGATCCTCGCAGAAAGAGCTTGAACGAGAAGGAAACCATTAGCCCTGTTCCACCTAGACATGTTCCTGAGCCATCAATAGAAAATACTGTTCCTGTGTCCGACTGTTTATTACTTAAAGGGTTGCCATTTAAAGCAAACGATCGTGATATTCTAGACTTTTTCTCAGATGTTGGTATTGTACCGTTGAAAATTCACATCATGTTCGACAAGCAAGGGAAACCAGCCGGCGATGCATTTTGTGAATTTAATACACCGGAAGAGGCCAACCGCGGGTTGGTGAAACAAAACGCCCCCATGGATAGGAATATAGTGACGGTGGTCCCTATTCCCAGGCACGAAATGATGTGTGCCCTCGGAATTCTTCCACCCGGACCGATGATGCCTCCCCATATGGCAGGACCTGGTATGCCAGCTCCTCGAATGCCACCAGGAATGATGGGACCACCTATGGGACACCCAGGAGACATGCGAATGCCCATGCATCATCGACCCGCCAGACCGGACTTTATTCCAGGGGGACCCAATTTTAGAGGTCATCGAATGGAGAACGATTATATTAATGACAGTATCAATGTGGATGGGTTTGGGAAGCCAGGGTGTGTTGTTTCCATGGAGAATGTCCCATTCAGTGCTGGCGTGGAGGATATTCTGCACTTTTTCCATGGCTTTGATGTGGTTCGACAGAATATAATTCGGAGGTTCGACGATGATGGCAAACCCACCGGCGACGCCAGGGTTTGTCTGAAGACGCAAGCTGATGCGCAAAGAGCATGCCAAAAGTTGCACAAGAGGATGATTGGACATCGAATCATTTACTTAAGTATTGTAGATTAATATGATAGAATATTTGAGTGTCTGAGAGTTTCAAAGTACTAACTTGATTTTTTAACCCCTCTTAAAATATTTCGGAAAATATGTCAATATTTTCTCCCCTCTCTGACTTCCTTCGAGTATGAGAAATATAAGTAGGGGCAGCTAATGCTGTTGTTTTTTTTATATGTCAAAGGCTCCATCGGATTTTGTTGACATCTAAAGTTCCAATAAGAATAGAGTTACAAGGGTGAAATAAAATCACCACCCTGATGTTTGACATGGACGTTTCTGTTGATAAAAACAATGTGGCAGTTATTTCAATATCTGTCTTGAGAAAAAAATAAACCCCAAAAATACATCCCGTTCACAAGTTTGAAATTGGAATGTGTTTATGCTAAATGGAAGTATGATAAATGAATTAAAATAAAAGAATTCATACTCCTATGTTTTGTATGCTTCTTTTGATTTTGTTCAGTTGGTAAAAGTTCCTTTTAGCATAAAAATGTCTGTCTTAGAGTTTAGCTAAAGCTGTGATCGTGGAAGGTTTCACATTATCAATTGATGCTTTCTGTAACCAGGCAACATCATCGAAACACAGAATCAGTGTGTGTTGTACTGTGATCTAGAAACGTGATGTAATAACCATCAGACTCCTGGATCTTGTATCTCAATTTAGCATGATGAAAACTTCCTCATTATTCTTTGATTTTCAAACAGTGAAGAAAAATTTGAATTATTTTCTTGCTCTTCCCTCCTATTAACATGCATATTTTGTGATAATTTCAAGCAATAAAGTCAGTCTGTTTTCCATGAGAAGTATAACAGTGGAGGGAATTTTTCTTGTATTTCCTTTTTTTTTCTTATTTTTACGAGAGTATAGCAAGTAATAAGTTTTGGTCTCAGCAAAAATTAGCAAATACTGCTACAAATTTACTGTTTTATTGCCGTTGTTAGGTACAGCCATGAAATTGTATACTTACACATCTTAAATGAAACACAATGTATCTTTTCAGTGTAGATCTCAAAGATCTTTGTTCAAGTGTACAGAATAGAATTTATATATTTTCGTTTCAGATTGGTCTCTGTTATATTTTGCTTTGTAAATTTGACCTAGAGGTGTTTTTTTACAACGATTTCGTTATTTCATTTGTATATTTTTTGATTTTGTAAATTTATGTGTAAATTTACCTCTCTTACCCTCGGAAAAGAATCCAAGCCATTAAGTTGGGATGACCTACAAATGCATGTAAAAAAAGCTTTTATCACTATGCAGGCCCAGAAGACTTTATCTTTTTCCTCTGTTGTCATTAATTTGTATAATTAGAAGGGCAAAGAACTTGAAAAAAAAAAAAATAAAGTTATAATTTTTTAACAGAATCATGTGTTTCTTATTGCACTGCATCTGCACCTGATTGCAAAAACTTTTCCCCTTGAAAATATTGTTATCTGAGTAGATTTACCTCAAAATAGAGGATTTCTTTAAAGATTCTTTTAGAAGTATGAGGATTATCTGATAATTTGCAACTCTTCTGAAGCAAAGCAAAACTGCTTTTAATTAGTAACAAATCCAAATGGTGATGAACGGAATTATTTACACATCCTTATCTTGGCAGTATTAAATTATTATACTTAGACAATTTTTAACAACTTTCTTGAACCTCAGAATTTTTTCTGTTCCAGAAAAGAAAGCCTAAGAAAAAGTTTTTTCCACTGCATGGATAAATCACTGCATCAGGAGCTCAAACCAACTAAAACATTTCTCTCATCTTAGGAAATGGAAGGACATGATTACTTATTTCCTTATTTTAGTCGGCAACTATTGGAGTTTAATATTTTTTCATTGGTGTCAGTTCAAGACACAAATTTTTAAAAATCCAAAATTCTAATAGCTACTCTTTGAAAGAAATGTTAGTTGATGAGATTTTCTGCCGCAGACTCACCATTTGGACTGAAAATTTTTTACTTAATCTTTCAAGGATATCTTTTTTTTGTATTTTCAAGAGAGGGTTCAGAAAAAACATTTACCGAAATCAAATTTAAATTAACAATGAAATTTATTAACAAATAAATGTACAAAGAAGGGCTTGGTGCCATACCTTATTTTAAATTTGGGTGAACTAATTTATGTGAGCTGTCTGATACAAGCCTGTAGCGAACCAAGAATATAATTACAGAACCCAATAGTCCTGCTTAGAAAAGACTAGTGGCTGTAAAAAAAAAGAGGAAAAAAACTTAACTTTTTTTGTCAATTGGAACTTCTTCAACAACAGGATATTTGTCGGTACGGAAGTTAGGGAACTGCTCCCAAGGGGCCTCCAGCTCGAATTTTCTGAATTCCTGCGCCAACTCCAATGGCTCAACTACAACACGCTTTTTCTCATCATCATATCTTACCTGAAAAAATGAGAAAATTCAAATTAGCATTGACTCTTAAAAAAGTTTTTTTTGGTCATACTGATCAATAGAAGTCTAACCAGCCAATTTCCATGATTTTATGATGGAAGGTTTATCTCAAGACACAGTTCTTCAATTTTTTATTATCATTGAGCTATTGAAAAGACAAAGTGTCGCTAATTTCACTCTGAAAAGAGTGGTGACTGAGAAGCAGAAATAGTGACTAATTTGAGGTACTGTTCCTGTTTTAAACTGCAGGAGCATTAACTGGTTTGATCCGGTCGGATTTTTTAAGGAAATCAGTCCTTAAACAATAGACTGGACCGTTTGCTTGACCACCAGTCATCCACTACTTTGTTGGAGGAGCTGTAGCAAAATTTGAGCTAAAAAGGACGTTTCTCTTACAGGAGCGATACTAAAACACTTACTTCGACATATCCAGTCAGAGGAAAGTCTTTTCGGAAAGGATGTCCTTCAAACCCGTAGTCAGTCAGAATACGGCGCAGATCAGGGTGATTAACAAAATATACACCATACATATCCCAGATTTCTCGTTCGTACCAGTTTGCTGCCTTGAAAACACTGTTGGCTGACTCAATTGGAGTCAGTTCGTCTGTGTAAGTTTTGACTCGGATCCTGGAGTTGTACCTCAAAGAGAGAAGGTTGTAAATGACCTGGAAACAAATAAAATAATTCAGCCAGTTGAACACTAGATTTCCAGAATTTTGAAGTTAATGAAAGTGAACCTACAACACTTGCGCAAAATATTTGTTGGTCAGTTCATCCATTGATAAAATCTAGATTTCGAGACATTTAAAACCAGAAAGTTACATCATACTGTAGTGATTCAGGTGTGACGCCACCACCACCACGTAGTGTCCACAACTGCCAGTGTTGCCTATCAGTGGAGATTGAAACAACACAGTCCAACTCGGTGAAGGCATGGTCGAGCTCTGCAGCGTCTGCCACTCTCGGATAAGACCTACCGTTGGCTATCAGACGGCCGCTGAGCCTTGAAGTAATACAGAGTATACAGAATGTGTCAATAGTAGGAAGTTAAGGAGGACAGTCCAACTTCGGGGTGCACGAGGGCAGGGTTCCTGCCAGTTGCCTTGGCCCCTTGGGGGCGCCTCGCCGGTCAGCGTGGCCCTTGCTTCCTTCCTAACTATCACCACCAGCCAACCATTGCTGCCAATGATCACAATCCGCATGACCCTCCTCAGGACCACCTCTCATAGCATCATCTTTATTTTTACTATTAAGGTATTGATTTACAAAATTTTATCACAAAATGTGTGGAAAAAAACTTCAAATTTTAACTTACATTTGGGCCCTTGGGCACTGAATAGAGGTGTCGTCAGATAAGTTAACCATTGTTTACTTTCGGTTTGCAAGCATTTTCGCGTCACTACTATCCACATGAAAACATCCGACTCTCGCAGAAGCAAGAACACAAGCTGAGATAAGTTTTCTAATACTTTCAAACTTTGTAACACTGTAATTTTTAGCCACACAGAAATCACTATCACATAAAAGTCATGAATCCTGTTCAGTTGCATAACTGATAAGTAGTTTTTTCACGATACAATCTAGAGACGGATGTTTTCAAGGTGGATAGTAGTGAACGCCGCTTTGTGCAGAGGCCTAAATTCGTCGTCTGCGCTTGCAAACCAAAAGTAAGCAACGGTCAACTTATCTCAACACCTCTACCAGGAGTACAATGAGAGTTTCAGAAGAACTAATTGGAGTAAGATATTATTACATTTATAAAATTTTGCACAGTGATACTTTTTTACATGAAGATGAACTAGTGTTGTAAATTTTTCATGATATTCAAAATCTTTTACGATTTAATCTTGATCAAATTGGCGCTTACCATGATCTCTCCCGAAGGTGACCAAATATGCTTCGCAAAATTCAAGTACAAGTTTCATAAAACTATGCGTTCAAGCAATGAGTGAGCTTACCTCAAATCTGAAAAGCCTGCTTGGCACATCCATTCCAGCAATGTCAACTAAATTGACGAACTGGGCGGTGTGATGATCCTTCAAAAATTGTAGGACAGGGATCACACCTTCCGGTGCAATTAGTACTTCTAACTCATCTCCTGCTGCCAATTGCACTTTCTGAACGTACTTAGGAAGACATTCTGCAACATACTTTCCAAATCCAGCCAGTTGTTCACGGACCTCTGTATTCACCTTGCGTATTGTTGCTAAACATAACAGAAATTAAACAGTCATTAGATTAGGACTCAGCTGACTATTTGCTAATGTACAAAATTTTTTATTAGTGAACCTAAAGAATTTAGACTAACCATTATTAATCCTTGAAGTTGGATATTTGGTTGAAAGGTATTTTTAAATTTTTCAATAAAAAGAAAATGTTGATACTAGTTTATCCTAATACTTTTTGATCAATTTTGATTGAAGTAGATGTTATGAAAGATTTTCAAAAAGTGAAGAAAATCTCAAACAGTGGTAATTTAGAGTACAAGGGTTGCAAATCATGTTGTGCTTAAAATTGTACATATAGAAAATTAAAAATTTTTATCTACTGATGAAAAATTACTTAATTCTTGAACAGTGTTTTGAAGAAGTTGAATTTTAAAAACGAAAGCAGATTTGAAAGGATTTGAAAAATTCCAGACCAATCGTCAGAGCATATAATTAGATTTTAAGAGCAAAGTTTATTTTTGTAAAGTTGCTGAAACATGATAGAAATAATTGACATCATGGGATTGCCGATAGTACCGAAGCCATTAATTTAATAGTCCAAAAATCCTAACTAAAGATTTTGATGAAAAAATAAACTTACGTGTCTTGTTTTCAGGGACTCCTGATGCAACTGTTGTAGTTTCAAACCGTACATTAAATGCATTCACCAGAGGTTTAGAACAATTCTTCTCAAGAGCTAGAACCAGGGAAAGAAACAGAATGAGACAAAATTCGAAGATAAAATTTTCCAGACTTTACTAGTATTTGTTTCTTTGGGAGCTTGCAGCACTCAAGTTTGAGTTTATTACAGTTGTTGTACTATCGGCCACTGTTTTTACCAGAGGAGTGGCATGGACAAGGCATCGGACTTCGATACAAAAAGTTATACTCATTGCATGGAATTCAAAACCATTGGATGATTGATACAATGACACTTTGACACTTGTCAAATTGTAGCTTCTAATCGCCTGTAACTAAATTAATTTTGATGGGAGGACATGAACGCAGGTAGACGTGCGGAGTAACATCTATATTTTCAGTGGATGTGTGAATCCCTACCGAAATTTTGTCCGGAGTCTTTCGATGGATTTTTTGGCAGAATTCGATTCAATGTATTTTGAAACATGAAATATCAAAGCAAAATGATGGTACTGTACAGTGATTACATGAGTAGTTTGATCAAAAACTGGAAGATTCTTGAGAAAAGATCAAATCCTGAAAATGAAAATTACGAACCTCTAGCACAGTTGGGAAGCTGCTTGAAGTTTCTGGCCATTTGTCTCATCAAAGAATACGCCATGGTGGATTGTCTCCAACAAAGAGTACTTACAGTTTTAGAAATAAATAAAAATTAATCAAAATTAGAGACAGAAATTTAGTTACGATCCATTTTCGGTCACAGGATTTCGCAGGTCGATAGTTTGAGGTTATGTCAAAATCAAAACACGCGGGTACCAACCTACTCAGAGGCCAGACCAAATTTATTCTCTATTTCTTTTTGTAAATTTGAATTGTACATGGGGAAAAATGCATCTTTAAAAATTATCATTCACATTAAGCGAGAAATATCTAAATATTTTCTCGATTTAGTGTGGCTTTGGTCATTTCCGCGATCGACGCTAAGCTTCTCCTAAAAAAAAATTCATGTTTTTCAAAAAGGCGAACTTGATGAAAAACAATCAGCTGATTGAAAAGCCGAAGCCTAAAATTGTCAAAATTGTAAACATGGCGTCTGAAGTCTAGTTCGGCACATATTAATTTTCTCTATCTAGTTTGGTTCTTTTTGAAGAATTTTATTTCTGTTTCCCACCGCGAAGTTCTGTGTTTTACTACTTGCGCCAAACCAGCCGATTGATCAGTGAACTTGAACTTTCGGACGAGTTCTTTCCGCTGATTCCGTTGGTCCGATCTTACCTCAGTGTTTCAGGTTCTAGTGTGCAATGTCGCTATTTTGAATTGTTTCTGTGATTGAATACTTAGTCAGTTTGGGATTCTAGCCGCTTATTTCTCAGTATTTTAAGAATGACTTTTTGGGTCTGTTGAGTGAGGTAAGCATGCTTCAACATCAGTCTGTCAGAATTTCTACATTCTGATCTGATTCTTTCACACAGCCCTGGCTTGCACCATGAGGAGTAAAAATTGACTTTCTTCAGCATAGAGTGTGGGTCTCACATTGCGTGGACTCTGTTTAAGATCAGTAATTAGTTAACTTTTCGCTTAGTTTTGATGCATATTTTATAGTCTTCAGCATGCTTCTAGAACCCAGCTGGTCTTCCATGATCAGTTGGCTCCACCGCATCATTACCCTGTTCCATTTGTATGTACTAATCACCACACAGATCAAGAAATGCTGATAGCTAGTCATCAGATTTCCACGTAGCTACACATGTCTCTTATATTTCTGTTCTTGTATGTTATTATGTAATTTAGTTGTGAAAGAGCCAGAAAATGATCTGCCGAGTCACCTGAAAGTTGCAAGCAGTTCCGACATGATTCGGATTAATTGCTACCTTTGAAAAGCAGTTAAACTGAAAGCTATACTTAACTGATCATGAAAATCCTCCAGAGGATTTTAGGATGGCCAGTACTGATTCACATTTGTCCGAGATGCAGAGAACATAGGAGAACCTCCTACCACCGATAGGACTCCAACAATTTGATGTTTTTTCACATGGGCCCATCTTCTTTCTGTGCATAGAACAGAGATTGGAGTTGACAGGATATGAAATTAGTTCTTAACTGTTCTGATCTTGTGCCAGATTATCCCCATCCCAAAGTTCTCCTCCTATAGCCCTGAACGTTGCAAGAACTCGCACATCTTTCCGCAAAAACATATTCATTCAGAAAGACTAGACTCAATAAGAAAATATTCATGTTTCAGTTTAACACTTTTAACCGGACTTTTTTGAGCATATTGATTCAAGTATTCACTGACGCTTAGTAGGTAGTGGCAAGCTGAACCGTGTGCATTTCTATGTCATAGCCAGCAATCATAGGCAATTCCTACTTAGCATTCCTGGTCATGGGTTTGAGGTTAAATGTTTGTAGCAGCAAAGAACACACGGGATCGTATATGGAGGACTTAAAAAAGTTGATTTTTTTATTTGAGAAAGTGAATTTATTCCCGGCCTGGAATTTTCAGTTTAAAACCTTGGCAAGTTTTATCGAAAAAAACAAATTTGTTCGTCAGAATCACATTTTAAATGAAGGAAAAAATTATGAAATGTATGTCAATACTGTAATGGTCTCGGGGATGGGGAAATAGTCCAACTCGCGTTGATATCTTGAATGCCCTGAGGTGGCGATCACCGTTAAGTACGCATAGGATGACCCGTGACACAGCTGACAATCACCCGCGAAACTGACCCTGCCGTGGCCGTTTGGTCGCCGTTATATTCTGGCGCCCAAAAGCTCTGGCCCTGATTCAGCACGCGCCAACCAAAACACCTGCCTGCGTTTATCTCGGAAATACGTGACCTCTCACGTATGTCCAAGGTGCTCCTAACAGAGGCGTACTCCTAGCTAGAGTGTGTCTCTGCTACAATACATGGATTAAGGGCAGGTAAGGGTGAAAACGGATGCAACCCGCCTAACGTAACCCGGCGGCTTCCCTTTGTTTTCCGTAGTTATTACAAACACACTCTCACACAATTTTTAAAATGGCCAGGAATGCTAAATAGGAATTGCCATAGGCTAAGTAATCAAGCAGAAAGGAACCAAACCACATCAGCTACTGCCAAATTTACGCGGACGTTTTAATTTTTTACATAAAAATGGCTGTGCAGGTTTTTCTGCAAATTTAGTGAATTTTCTACGTGGTACAAAGCAAATTCTTCAAAATTTTCTAAGGAATCCGCACAAACATTCTTTCTTGAAAAATTAAATTGGTCAGTTAAATTTGGCAATAGCTAATGTTGCTTGGTTCCTTTCTGCTAAACAAGGTTCAATTACGGTTGTCGCAGAGTTAGGTCATGTTAGGCTAAAAGCAGTATCTTTGCCTCGTAGGTTTTCCTCTGATAACCGCTAGACCTCCATACGTTCCCATATCAAGACCTAATCTTAAGTTAGCCATCCTGCTACCACTTCCTGTATTTTTTTCATGATTAGCAGAAATACAGCGTTTCAAAAATGACTTGTTGCGGACTGCCTGTAAGATTTTTAGGAGATTTTTATGGTGTTGACACCTATACGAACGGTCCAAGCCGTCCTGTGAATGCTCTGAATTAAACATTCAGAAATCTTGAAAGAATTTTGAAGTCAATACCGACTTAGAAACGGTCCTCTCCAAAATTATCTGTCAATCTGCTAATTACCAAGCAAGGTGCCCACAGGTCTGGAACTGTCAAGGAATTTCATCAGGTTAAGGAAATCAGAAAAAGTCAGGAAATTTCATGAAAAGGACTACAACTTTGAAAAATCTTAAAACTTGATCTTTTAAATCGATTAATGTTCGGAGTTTTCTTTATCCTTATGAGAAAAGACTGAAATTTTCAGACTAATCCTTGTGATAGTTTCCTCATGTATAAATTGAATGTTGAGAGAATTACTGTTCAGCGCAGGTGAGTTATGTTTTGTCATGAGTTAGACTATGAAATCATTGCCACAGGGCTGAAAAAGTCTGACCTATATGTGCACTATGGGCAACCAAGTCATGAAAAATTTCATCAGTTACCAGGATAACCTGTTTCTGCTGAACCAAATGTTTTCAAATGTCTCCACTCTTATGTTAGCTTCTTTAACTTTTTTAGTTTCTTAAAGTGATGTCTCGGTTTTAACCGGTTCAGTTCTTGCAGTAATCTTCTGTATGTGCCGAATAGAACATGTTTGTAACCAACATTTTTTCTCTACACAGATCATAAATTCGAAAATGAGTTTACCAGAAACTGAACAGTTCTCCCTGCGGTGGAACAATTTTCATAGCAACTTATCCTCAGGTTTTCATGACTTATTAGAAGGAGAAGACCTCGTTGATGTCACCTTAGCTTGTGATGGTACCTTTGTTCAAGCTCATAAAATTGTCCTGTCTGTGTGCAGCCCATACTTCAAACAGTTATTCAAGGTACTTTCAAACCATTATTACTATGTATTCTCAGTGTATTACTATGTATTCTCATCATTAAGTGCAAGGAAGTAACATTGTCATTAATGAACTTACCTACCAAATTGTCACAATTTTTGTTCCTCTGAATATTTTATTGAATATAAAAACAACAGTTGACTGTAAATAAAGAGTTGAATTGGACTCAAGAGTAAAAATCTGTACAAGTGCACTAAGAAACTTAAAATATGAAATTAAACAAACATAACAGATCTTTCATATACGTAGTAGATAAGAACTGAATGAACCGCGTTTAGCAGAGAAGGAACCAAGCCACATCAGCTACTGCCAAATTTAATCGGGCAATTCAATTTTTTACAGGAGAATGTGAGTGTAGATCCCTCTGGAAATTTCAAGGAATTTTCTTCCTAATAAGCAGAAATCTCTCTAAAATTTGCACAAGAATCTGTACAACCGTTTCCATGCAAAAAATTAGATTGCCCGATTAAATCTTGCAATACCTGATATGGCTTGGTTCCTTTCTGCTTAACGCGGTCCAAATTTACCTAAGAAAAAAATGAAAGAGAAAGTGTAAAAGAAAATGTATCTAAACGCTAGACGTATGTAAAATGTGTATTATTTTCATGGCAGAGACAAGTTATTTTAGAGATTTTCTGCTATCTTTCCTTGAATCCAAAAGTTAATTTTAAAAGTCAAACCCTCAGATTCATAAAGAGATTGCTGATGGCCCAAATGTTCAGCAACCAATACTAATGCAAGATCCACCTAAAGGAATTTTCTTTGCTAACTGATTGATCCAATATTCATCAGGCCAAAAGGTTGGTGACAAGTGTGGGTGGCGACTACAACCATGCTTTGCCAAGCCAGGGCAACTCATTGTAACAAATTAAGAAATGAAGTAAATAAATTAAACACAAGTGCATACTCGAGAAAGAAAAAGCAGCAGTTTTCAAAATGCATCACCAATAACTTGCTGTGAAAATACTCCAAAAATAAGCAGTGATTGGGGGGAAAAAAAAGTAACATCAGTATACAGCGAAGTGCAAATGCTGCATTGCCCAATCTATGCAGTCGCCAGATTGAACTTCCAAAAAGCAAACAGTTGCGCGCGCAACTTTGCTGCAGCACAGCAGAATGAGGATCAGTGTTAAACAGGACAAGGGGAGAGGAGGGGAGAGATCGTGCGCATTCGCAGAAATTTACGGGAAGTCAAATGAATAAATAGAAACAATCTGTTTGAATGGAAAAAACTCAGAACGTTTAGTAGGTACTATAAGTAGCAGATTTTTCTATTATTCACAATTTCATCCGTTTGAATTTTTAAAAGTCAGGGAAAATGACGAAAATGTCGGGGAAAATTTGTTAAATCACCTTCATTTGCTTTCTAGAGTGGGTTTGAGGTTTCGAAAAATAAATTTTGCCTGAAAACTATTTTCAATTATGCCTTCTTAACCATCCGTCACATCTTCAATAGTCAGGGAATTCCACCAAAATGTGTCAGGGTAATCAGGGAAATGTCAAGGAATTTTATTTTCTAAATTCTGTGGCAACCCTAAGGTACATATCCCAGGTAATCCAGGAACCAGGATAAGCCTATAAAATCTAATTTGTAGCAAAAAAATCCAGTCAATACAAGCTCCTGTGTGTCATTTTTCACGATTTGAGGCGCATTGCAAAAATGAACAATTCTCAGCAATGTTTCCTGTGTTCTATTCCTCCCCTCACTAACTGCTAATTGATTTCCAGGTAAATCCATGCAAACATCCTATTGTCATTTTGAAGGATGTGGGTCATATTGAACTTGCATCTCTTCTCCAGTTCATGTATCGTGGGGAAGTTAATGTCAGGCAAGAAGACCTAACAGCATTCTTGAAGACAGCTGAACTTCTTCAGATTAAAGGACTCACCAGTGATGACTCAAAAGAGGTAAGTTCACCTATTTCTCTCACTTTCCAATTGGACAGCACTAAGCAGAAAATAACAAAAAGAATAGTGGTTTTTACCATGTGTGGTTTTTTTTTGGTTTAATGAATTCCAATTCAGTCTCATTTGATAGGGTTGCCTTAGTCAGGGAAAATCGGGGAACGTCAGGGAAAATGACGAAAATGTCAGGGAAAATTTGTTAAATCACATTCAATCGCTTTCCAATATGGGTTATAGGTTTCGAACAACACATTTTGCCTGAAAACTATTTTCAATTATGCCTTCTTAAGCATCCGTCTTATCTTCAATTGTCAGGGAAATGTCAGGAAATTTCATTTTCTAAATTCTGTGGCAACCCTGATTTGAGAAAAATCGGTTGTTCAGGCTTCTATGGCTTGGAGGGTCTGCAATATTAATAATTTAGGCAGGCTTATAAAAATCAACCGCAGGTGTCTTGATGAGTTCCATTTATGTTGATCAAATGGTCTGAGAGTTGTTATTAATTGTTGAATCAGACATGGTGACTTATTATTTCTGTTCATTATAAATGCCAGGGGTTCAGAAAGTGCTCGATTGGCCCATCGCGGAGCAAATGTCAAGGCACCTAGAAGAAAAGGAAAAAATGAAATGGTAGAAAGCATAAAGCAGCTAAGCACATAGCTTTTTGCGCTAGAAACTATGTAATGCGTTCTCTTATGCGAAGAAAGCAGTGAAGTACGCAAGTCTTATGTGGACAGCAATGTGAGGGCAATCTCAAAATTTGGGAAATCTGCCTCCAAAAATCTGAAGGCGAAAAACTTTCTGCACCCCCAATAAATACTACTTCTTACAATGAAACCCTTCTAAATGAATTTTGAAATCAATAGTTGCCTCAATTGGCAATTAGTGCTCCATAATGTCAAACGAATATTGTTGTTAATTCATCTTTGATGACAGGTTGATTTAATTTTTTGAACATAAATCTGTATCTAGAGAAGTAGGCCATGACTTATCATGTTCGAAAATCGAACTGCACAAGGTGGCAGTTGGTTTTGTCCATGAAAATTATAAGTTATCTCAAATTTGAGCCTATTTTGAGCAATTTTAATAACCCTCTATTTGATCAAAATAAATTTAAAAAAAAATAGACATTGGTCGAAATTGGAGTATATTAAGCTGATAAGCAAAAATGCATTTTTTAGCTTTAACAGAAACCCAATTCATAAAAGAATTTTCATGCAAACCTTTTTTGAAAAGTCAGTAAATTTTTTGTCATAAACCTTTCAAAATTTAGCAGAAACTAGATAATTCTGTAGTTTTAGGCAACTTTGTTACTTTATAGTAGCAGCAACTGGGATTTAAAAGTCTAAAGCAATGAAGTTGTCAATCGTTTTTCTTGAGTATCAAATTGTGGCACAATAGAGCTGTGAGTAATATATAAGTTCAGTTGTATCATGCCTGATTCTGATGTTTCTCTCCTGATGTATTTTCCAGACTATTCAGTCAGCAGCATCAGGTGAATCACATGTATCAGACAGCGATTCACGAACCTGCAAGAACAATGCCAGCGATGAGTATGACCCAGAAGTCAATTCCACGCTTAATTTCTTGGAACAGTCACGTCAGCGCTTCGAGAAGTACTTAAACCCGTCTCACAATCAGCCGTATTTCAATACTGAAAAAGGTAGCATTATCTCTCAAATACTCTCCCGTAGCAAGCCCACGCCAGATTCGGACAGGAGGCAGAAAGTAGTGCAAAAGAACTGTCAGGCGAGCCCGGTGAGCGGAAACGATGCCTCTATCAGTACTCTCTCACCCACATCGACAAGCGTCAGACTGAAGGAGGAACCTATAGATTACGAAAATGATGTTATTGAGGACACGAGTAATGGTTTAGATTCTGCATTGGTCATTGATGATTCATATCAGGATAAATGTAAGTGTAACATTTTTCAAAAATTTCAGTGTTATACTGTAACTATTAATTCCTTCCATGATGATACTTTCTAACCTTCTGCAAATCCTTTAATTGCAAACATCTGAGTGCTGGCTGATACAATAGTAAAAAAATATATTATCCCAATATCAGCACCTGCCAAGCAAAAGTAGTTCATAGAGAGCGGCCGGTTGACGTCCGGCCTTGAGGGGGGGGGGGAGCCTCTCTTGCTTGGTTTGGGGTTTGTATCCAAACCCGCGTATGAGGGCTATCGCTCCGGGGCTCTGGAGGGCCGCCATCTATTTTAGAACAAAAACAGGGTGTTTGTGGTGTATTTTTTGCCCGTGTATAAATTTATGCGAATCCATTATAGTGTAAAATACCTTAATACTGTCAAGTAGTTGGTATAAATAAAGAATTTCATTCATTATTTGCATAATTGATGCATAGGAAAAACTTAACACCCTGGTTATTAATGTAATACCAATTTTTCAAAGATCATCATGTCATAGACAAATACAGCAGACAACTCTCAAGAAGAAAGGTAGAGTTTTTTAGTTACCTCGAAAACTCAAAAAGTCAATGAATTTGGTGCTGGTCAGGGATTGGCCAGAGAAATATTATTACAATAGCTCTCTCTCTCTTGCACATTGAATCTTTAAGTAAAGTCAGTTATGGTATGTAGTTCCTGTTATAATTTTTTGATGAATTCTCATAGATTTGATTTTATATTACGCAGTATTAACGCTGCTACATGTCATGGATCAGTTTCCTGCATCAACTTGTACAATACAATAATTATTGCTTCTTCACATGCACTTTACAGATCGTTTAGTAGGGGAATGTATTGGCCGATCTTGTCCCTAGATCTCTTAGAATCACCTCAAGGTATTGATCAAAGCTCCCCACGTATGGTTTTTGGTACTAAATACGTCTCCTGCGGAGATGGTTTTATTGACAGAGCTATTTTGCAGCATTTTTTAATCATGCTGCTGTAAAAACAATTTTTGTCGCCTATCTTAGCCCTACCCATGAAGTATTTTCAGACATAACGAAGAAGTAGCAGTAGTATTGCCAGAAAATCTGTAACAGTAGTTTACAGCTGTTATTATTCACTTTTTTTGTGAAATTTCTTGACCTTGCGGGGACTTGAAGCCAAAAAATGTTGTTAGGCAATGATGAGTGTGTGTACATCAATGAAATTTTTAGAGTGAAACATTCCTCTTGTGTCTAATTTTTACTACTTTCCCCCTTTTTTCATTGCAGCTAATTGCATGGAAATCGAAGCATCAGGAAGTCTGTCAGATTTAGAAGCTCGGGGAAAAACAACGGCTCAAGGTAGGATTAACCAACCAATAATTCTTTTGTTTGTTTAAAATCCATAAACAGATTAGAGTCACTCGCTGCTCATGTGGATTCTTTTGTGTCTTGCCTGAATTCTGCGCTTTTGCATGCTTGCCTGCCTTGCTTTTTAATGTTTTCATCTTTTCATGTCTCTTTCTTGTTAGGTATTTCCTTCTACAGTCATTTTGTATTTGTTAATCTAAAATTGGATTTCCTTTCCTGAAAATTCATAGTGGTTCATTCCAGAAAAACTGGAAGCAATGAATAAGTCTGATAATATATCTTAGAAGCAAAGTTCTGGGTTGTTTTTTTTTTATTTATTTATTTATTTAACTGGAATATAAAATCAAATTCCTGTGGTTCTATGAGTATTTTTAAATGTGACCTTTTTTAAACTGCTGTAAAAAGTTATTGGTTAAATCAAATTTTATTGGCGGTAGACAAGAAATTAAATTGAATAAAAAAAAAAATCTGCATTACAACTTTCCCCAGCAATACTGAGATTGTGGTTCAAAGCCATTTCTTCTCTTTTTTTTAGTTGCTGATAGTTATTTGTGAAATCGAGTTTTGTTACACTTTACTGTCATATTTATTTTTGAGGATAGTTTATCGAAACTTCCCAGTTTGTGAGTTTAAATCTCCTCATTGGTCGCATACATTTTCATTTATTTTTACTTTATATATTCGTGCTCTAATATGTGTTTAAGATGTGAATCTGGAATCCTCATTAAGTTTCAGCTTGAAAACATTTTCTCTGCGCCTTCAAAGTATTTGTATTTGGGGTGAATTTTTTCAACAAACTCAGTTCTAATGTAGTTTTTGTAGTTGAACTTTCTATTATCATTTACATTCTCAAGAATTCAAGTTTTTGTGATGTTCTTTCATCCTCTGTAAAAAATGTTGTTGTATTTTTGCTCTTGTAATGAATAATTCATTACTCCATTGCAGATGATGTACCTTTTATCATGAATCAAGGGCATTGTTTTTTCCCTTTTCGTCAGTTTGTTATTTTACACTTAGCCCATTGACTTACAATTTAATTTGACCGTGCCCCACGTATAATTAATATTCAAATGTGTAAAAACCAGTACTGCTGAACGCGTACAAATATTCCTAAACTCATTTCCTGAGCTAGAAAATCTGTATTCTAAGCATTTTTATCAGGGAGATAATTAGTTATGATCATTTTATACTTTGATTAATTAATGTCAAAATCACAAATCAAGAAAATTGTGAGGTTATTATATTTATAACTGCACAGTACATAATCAAAAATACAACAACAGAGTAATGAATTGCCGCACAGAATAAATTTTAAGTTGGTCACACCACTCAAAGCAACATTGGCAAGAATGCAGTCTATTGTAGAATCCTGGATGTATCTGAAAAATTGATTGCAAAGTGGACCAACAGCCCTAAGCCGCTGGTTCAGATCTGACCGAGCGCAGTGCGGACAGCTCAAATCTTTCACTTAAGTCAGTGGGTTGGTAATTTATTATTAGAACGTAGAATCATAAATTATTTTTAAGAATGCTGTATTTTAAGTACTTTGGATGCATGGTTGTGCAACGCATCTACAAGACAATGCTCAGGAAACTCATCAGCATTATTTCCACACAAGTTTTTTTTTTTTTTGAAGGGAAGTTAAAACTCACAAAGGCCTAGCTTTGGCAACAAGAGCCCACAATGACAAATCGAAATTCAGATAGGAATGAGAGAAAAAAAGTCCTAGCAACTTCATAATTCTTCAATTTTTTTATGATGCAAAGATGTTGCAGTAAAGCTGAAATCACAGTATTTAGCCTCTGGCTTTTCTGATCATAATGAATTTTTATGTATAAAACTTAGAAAACAAGTTTCTTAACCTTTAATAATGCAAAGTTCTTATTATACTTTATTTTCCAATCGGAATACTAATCTACGCTACCGGCGAAGATTAATCTGCGAAGATAAAAAACTCTCCCCCATAAAAAAATTTAAAAAAGGTGACCATCGTGAAAAGGTACATTCATGATTACATTTTTATAAATTTTAGCTGATGCTTTAAGCTCTTCCAGTGAGACTGATTTTTACACTAATCTCCAGTTAATTATTTTATCTGTTGACTGACATGCGTTATTGCAGAACAGTTATCAGAGTTTGTCATACATGACAGGAAACTTTTTATAGAATGGCCCTCTAAAGGAAAATTCCAAAATAAGCCTCTCTACAAAAAGACAAGATGATCAGTTTATTTCCATTTGTGTGTCTTTGCTTCTCATCGTTGTTATTTGTTTATGAATTTGTCGTTTTTTTGTTTGCTTCTTTTTGTCAGTTGTTTGGTTTTGTTTTGTTCTAACTAGCAGTTGTCTTTTGTTTTTGGAAATTGCATTTATCAATGTTTTTTTTTTTTTCTTTTACTACCTTATCTTTTTTGCTGTAGTATTTTCATAGATTAGTTGTTTTGTATTTTTTCTTTTTAAATTTTATGAATTCTGAATGATATGTAGGAAAATGTAGCGAGTTTAATTAAGCTTTCAGTTGTGAGTTTTGCTCATCAATACTTCCTAAGTTCTACTTGTCATTGTCCTCTTTTATTGTTTTACTCTCAGATTTAGTTTCTGAAAATGAAGGAATGGAAAAAATGTATAAGTTGAAGAAAGTCAAGTTCATATCTCAAACTTGGATCCACAAATAGGACTCAAACATTGTGACCGTTTTACAGTTTTTACTGAAGTAGTCACTGAAGTGAAGCCTTCGTCAATTCAGTATATTGTTTTTTAAGTACATTTATCGCATCTGTACCTTAAGCTTTACTCTGAAAAATGTGTGAGTTCAAGCTCAGTTCTATTGCTGCTCTGGATATCATTTTCTGAGATCTCTTGAGTTTGTTCCAAGCGACAGTGGCCTATTTAGTTAATTTTGAAAGTATTGAGTTTTGTAGACGAATCCTCTTTACTTAAAGAATTTCAACCGTACTTAGAATACTGTCATGATGTTGTTACTGCTGTAGATCATCAGTAGTAGTGTGAATTTCTTCATTCCGTTTAACAGTAAATTTTTAGACAGTACTCAACTATGCTCAAGAGCACTTGAATCTAAGAGATCCAATGATGTTCTTAGTCGAAATGTTTGTGTTGAAATCCTTCCTAGCGTCCTGAAAGAAGGAAATTTTTGGAAAGTAAGGCTAAGTCAATAAAAAAACAAAGACTTCCGATTTGAGATGATGAGGTACCACTAGACACCCCGTCAAATTATAGAATAGCTGATTAGTAATGCTTCATTCTGGATCAACGAATCTCTAAAAGTCTGTTGAGTTATTGTTAGAAGCTCAATTGGCCCTTAAACTCACCTCTTTAATGTATCACAACTTTGTAATGTAACATGCTCACGAGTCCATTTTGCATTTTTTATTCGAGTGCTGGTTTCTTTGCGATGTGCTGCATTTGCCGTTTGCGGATTTGTGTTTTTGGTGTGCCGTTTGTCGTAGTTTGGGTTGCAAAATAAACTCAGCGTTCTATTCCACGTGTTTCATGCAGCTTGCCTGCTTTCAGGACTGAAGTTCTCATGTCGGTTCTGTCATAAGAAATTCTCGCGGCGGGATAGCCTTGGCATCCACGTTGCAAACATACATGGCAAATTGCGTGGTCCGTTCCCGTGCAAGATCTGTGGAAAGCTGGCCAAGAATAAGCGGAGTCTCAACACTCACATGTACGATTATCACAGGCAGACAAGCGGTGGAAAGCGGCTGAAATACCAACGTAACAACTGTGTCGAGAATGCAGAGAACAATCAGCAAGTTTCGTTGATCATTCGAGACGGAGAATGAGCACTCGGCTAAACGTCAGCTTTAATTCTGCTTCTTATACTTTTTTGTGGCCTCTGCGAAGGCAAGTTTTTAAGCTTGCCGGTACAATGATTTCTGAATATTGTGTGCCATCTGAATTCATGCTCACTGTACATCTTTTCTATTTACCGTTTTCTAGTGTGGGGGGGTTAGAATGGCATTTCATAATGCAAGGCACAAAAATCTTCCATATCCTCAAGTTGGTATACTCACATCATCTGTAAATTTTTAAGTTGGGTATCTTGAGGTGTATGTCAGCATTGTATTTTCCTGGCACATAGTGAAGCAACGTAACGGAATGATGGCCCTCTCATGGTGATTCCGCGCGGATGACCTCAAACCAGCTTGATGCAGTGGCCTTGCTGAGTCACTTTTTTATGGAAGCTTTTTGGTCTGGCAGCATTTTGAGTTTTGTTTTCATGCCCTTTGAGAAAGATCAAAAGAAAAGAGTCTTTTTGGGGCATTTACCGAAGGACGTACTTTTCTTTGTCTTTTGGAGGAACCCCTCTCATCAGTCAAGGTACAGTTTTTAAAAATGTTCATCCAGAGTGCTGTTTTTCCAATGCTTAAGCCAAAACATTTTTTTTCTCTTTCAAAGAACAGCTTGGATTTTGTATCAGGAGTAAGCAAGGAAACTTAAGTATCAAGTGCGATTTTTTAGCGACTGGATTGCCATATTCACCCTAAAATTTCATTTCCTTCTTTCTTAATTCGATTGCAAAAGTGATGACTGACTTGATGGCTTCTATTTTTCTCATGAAATCACTTTAATGATTCTCAAGCCTGGGAGGACATGCATAAAGAAAGATCAGATCCTGCTAATGTTGATTCTTTAAATGTGATCCCTGCATCTAGGTTTACACTTAAAAATATTGATAGCTAAACTTGGAAATGACGTAGCTCAATTTGCAATGTCGTAGGATCTCTTTCTTATTTTATTTTTTAGTTGGAATACTAACCAGGGAAATTTCTTGAAAATACCCGCGACTTATTTGCTTAGTTCAGAGAATATCAAACCATGATGTTCGCTTTTTTCCTTTCTAATAAATAAAGTAAGTTCAGAAATTTTGAAACACTTATTTGCGCTTCGTAATTTTCTAGATTAGCGATCGATTTGATGTCTTTTATAATTAACTGATTAGGTCTCTGTTCAAAACAGAATTTCAGTTTTGGATTGTCCATCTGATGCAGCGAGATATGAAAAATTTTACTTTTAAGGGGCAGTGTGACTTTACTCCCTTCGTTGGAGAACAACTTATCACTGAACCGCACAAATGATTTCTATTCTTTTTGCTTTGCTCCTCTCGTCCCCCTAAATATTTGTAATACTATTCTCGGAGTATGCTTGTAATCTCCTTAGAGTCTTTAGTTACTCTCAGTGACTAATTCGGAAAATTTATTTTAGCAGAGTTTCGGTATTTCTTAATAGGTTATCCAAATTGATTTGTATATAGTTAGGAACCTCTTCCTAAGTGTTAGTGCGTTTTATGTGCAATATACCGTTCGTCATTAGAAATCTCTCTTTGATGTTTGGCGAGTGTTTTTTAATGAAATGAAGGTCTGTTGGAAGTCCTCCCCTGTGAAACAGTTGTTTCGTAATGAACGGTAATTTGTTTTTTTTACTTACCTTCGATTTTTCTGCAGGCTGCTCCTTAAATTCGTCCTCTCTTATGAATTGACGCCGTAATTCAGTTATTTGCCTTGAAAACATTTTTAGCATTTTCATGAATCAACTATTCATTTCAATAATTTTTAAACAGGATTTTTGTAGGACAACTCTTCGCTTGACTGTTGAACCTAGAGGACAAAAGGGAATTAATCCAGTACCCATCTTTTTTCTTTTTAGTCAATAATTCCGAAAGCTTGCTTCTCCTTTGTAACTCTGAATAGGTTGTACAACTGGAAAAAGCTTGTGATTGGGATTAAATGGTAATTGTAGTAAAGTAGAATTGATCTTGCACTCGTTTTTGGTTACAAATAAAATAGGTGCTTCTAAGATCCTTGCAGAATGGCTGGGTTAATGGTTTAACCACAGGCCCATTTGCAAAGAGGTGGCCTGTTTTCTAAATTATTGATCTATTTGAACTTTTTGCTCCTAAATTAAATGTTTTGCAGCTGTTCTGAAAGTTCCTGGTAATTTATCAAACATTTTTCAATTGTTCGTTCCACTAAATTCTTAACTTGCTTCAATCGTGGCTCTTCTTTGCCCAAATTCTTCTCTCCTCTGCTCTTTTCGTTGATTTTTAGGTTGTTGTGTTCTCTTGATTCTTAACTGGTCTCCGCTGCTGTCATAAAAATTTAGGCCCTCGTATTAATTTATTTTTTTACTCGTTTATTTATTATTTATTCATTTATTTGTTTGTTTATTTCTAACTGTCCATCTCTCTTAAATAACCACATCACTAAAAGTGTCACCTTTCGGAAGTTTTTGTACAAAATTTCAAGTCATAACTGTGAAACGAGAACGCTTTTTCTCTCTTCTCTTCTCATGGTTTGCGTTATTTCGTGTGTGTTCAGGTTTTCTACTAGTCACTTTTCTCAGTCATTCTTGAAAATAAGTACTTACTCTCGTTTATTGTTTATTTTGCATTTGGTAAGGGCTAAAAAGCACTTTATGAGAGTTACCTGCCAAAATTTTTCATTTTTGCTTACAATTAGTAAGAGATAACTTTGATGGTAACAAGATTTAAGATGATTACTTTCTTTCGCCAACACCACCAAGCATCATTGTTATTTTTTTTTTATTTATCATCTCCGATCATAGGCTCAGCTTCGAAGTGAAAATTATTGCATATAGGCATCAAAATTTCATTACAACGATAAAGTATCTCTCTTGAAGTTAGGCCTTTTCACAAATACAAGATCTCATCATGAACTTTTCACTGTGGCGCGTCGAGTTTGTTTCTAGTCTTTAAGTTGAGTTTTTTGGTTGCCTTTCACCCGCTATTATTTATTGACACTTTTATGACACTTCATGATTCATAGATTGATCTCAGGACCTCAAGTTTGCTCATAAAACCGGTGATTTTGTATTTTTGAAAGCAGACTCCAGTTTTGACAATTTTGAAAGTTTATTTTCGTAACTTTTACCGCATAATCTAGCAAAAAGAAAAACATTTCTTAACTGAAGGTAACTGTTTGAGAGATTTAGGTCAAAAAAGTGGCCCATTGTTTTAAGGATCAAGCTAGTATCAAGTAAATTTCGTTTAAACTTCATCTGCAGATTACCTCTCAAATTTTTATCTATTCACGTCAAACTTCGAGAACATCATGGCCTACTGGGCAGTTTGAATAATGCGCCTTTGATAATGCATACAGTTTTACAGGTGGACTATTTTTGGTGGATTTTCCTTTAAACAGGCAGCTCCCTGTTTTTCTCCATGATTAATTTATCGTTTAGGGCGTATCCAAAGGAGAAAAGCTGTACATACTTTCTTTCTAATTTAATTTAGTTTAGTTAATTTATTATTTTGTTTTTAATTTTATCCGCTGGAATTGTATTAACCTCTCATGTTTCGTGTGTTTCTGTTGTGTTGTGTAGGCTAAAACATCTTTAAATCGATTGTTATGTTCATTATTCGGGTCAATTCATCCACCGGTTAGAGAATAGATTATACCAATGACTAAAATGTCAACAACTTTAAATTATATTTTATGGCAGTATCATCTAGGCATTCGCCGTTGATTATTTTATGAGTTTTGTAAGCTCTCTTGTTTCAGCGTTGGATGTGTCAGTTTCAGTGATGAGCTCTTTCAGCCTATTGTTTTTATTTGTAAATATATACAGTTGCTATGTTGAAATTTAATTTTTGCAGAAGAAATTCTATGAAATAGGTGCGTAAATTTAGGCACTTGTCGCATTAATATTTTTTGTATTTTTTCTTTAGTATACTATTGTACCTATTTTCCTCTTAAACTCTTGTTTATTTAAATTCGAAGTAATGCTCTCAATAGCTTGATAGTATTCTGTTTGTAAGAATTAGTGGCCAACCGATTTGTTCGATGTGCATTGGTGGCATTGTCACAATGCAAAATAAAAAGTACTCCCACTAACTCCGACCCTAATGGATAAACAGTTCCAACATAAATTAAAATTAACCTGTGAACTGATAAAGTATTCACGCTTGACACTGCTACCTAGCGTGCAAGATTGCCAGGTCGCACGATGAAAAGGAAGCATTTTATATGGGTTTAAATGGGAACAATTGGTGATTTTTCAGTGTAACCCGGAGCACGCTTTCGGCTCCGAACGCATCCCACATTTGGGATCCCGAAAACAGAATATAACACGCTAGCATTGTTGCCCAGATCGTGTTGAAAAAGTAGAACGGGTCCCCCATTTAAGACTTTGTAAAATACCTACTTTTTATCGTACAGCCTGGCAACCTTGTACGCTAGGCAGCAGGATCGAGCGTGGATACTACACTGAGGATTTAATGTCTTGAAAACTTTCCGTTCTCTACCAGGATACACCATTCCAAGGGTATCATCGATAACATCCAATTCTTCCCACTATTTATTTGTCATATATTCCAGCATTTAACATGGGGATTTTAGCTTTTGTTGTATATTTTTAAGTAAATATCATCTAAATGGATCAGCTTCACATCAGAAAAGAATCATGGTCTATAGTTTAAAGTTCTAAATCAGAAAAAAAAAGGATAATATCTGTCTGAACATCAAGTTTCTACATCCGAAATTGGAGAAGATATTCTGCCCTTTGAATACCATACCATGATTGATCAACTTATCCACCTTGTTACCTTGCATTATTTAGATGGTTTTAAGAAAAATCGGCTTTACTGAACCATACCTTGCTTTATTTCCTCTCATGTGTTGTTTTTTCAACAAAAAACTAGGCAATTTGCCCTTTTCAATTTCATGAGTCATCCCCTGTAATGTAGGGAAAATCATAGGAAGTTTTGAGTCATCCTGTTTCTTAGTCATTGGTTTAAAAAATACATCGCAGGAAATTAGGTGATGTGAAATGTAGTCTGGCTCATTCTACTAAAAGATAATGAACTGAAACTGCAATGGAAGAACCATGGTATGCTTTGAAATGATGAATAACATCGTCCGCCATGTTTTCAAAGTGTCTTCTCAGTTAATATTGGATGCAGAAACTTTGAGTTTAAATTCGTCTTTGTAAAGCTACTTCTCTGTTTTTAACATTTGTAACATGATTCTGGTGTCAATGCTAATTACCCATAAAATGAACAGATGAACTTACTTTGTAATGTTTTGAAAACTTGACCTCTCTTTTGTCAGATAGCTCCGGTGGTAAGATGTTATCAACAACATCTGATCCTTGTTTTTTATTTTTTCATGTATTTTACGATGTTGATTAGGATCGTTAGCCTTCGTGTACTTTTTAAAAATAATAGGTATAATCAAAATCTTTGAGTATTTTGTGGGAAAGTTCAGATTCTTTGCTGCATAGGTGGCAATTTTCCTTGCTTAACTTAGTATCAGAAATCGTCAATTTTTATAGGAATACTGCTTGGAAAATAGTAAGGTGTCATCTAGTAATGGATCAACACGCTAGCATGGCTTCAGCGCAGGAAATCTGCTCGTAAGGCACTCAGTGGCGCATTGTTTGCTCTAGGTTGCATGAAGATACATTTTTGTAAAAATCATCGGTGGTTTTTTCTCACTCGATTTCTGTAAGATATTGGTACATGCCTTACTTTTGTTATGATACTGAAAAGCTCTTAAAAATAATTAATTTGCCCCTAAGTTCTCCTGTTGGCACTGTACAGGGTGTTTCAGAAAAAAATATCCATCCTAAATATCTTCTGAACGAATTCCAAGATCGAAAAAGTGTTGAATATTTTTGATACGGGCATTCCCCTCAAAATTAAACATTTGTTTCGGCGTTTTTGGATCCGCGAATTCGTTCAAAAATATTTAAGATAGATACTCTCTTTTGAAACACCCTGTATGTACTTAAACAATTTTCATGGTTTCTCTTCTGAAGAGAAAATCCTGAAAAGAAAATTCCCGAAGATTCTATTTTATCTGTAGACTTGGATTTTTTCCTCTCCTATCTTTTGCAAATATAATATTTCTCAAGTATATTTTCTGTCAATATCATGACCCTTTTTTTAATTATAATTTTATCTCAGCTTGGTCCCTATTATTTTGTATTTTATCAGGACCATTTAGTTCTGATGGTTTACCGTCTGTCCTCCCTATCTATTATGGATACATCTCATATTGTGCATCACTTATTTTCCTAATTTTAATTCTCTTGGCGTAATTTTGTTTCTCCTCATTGTATCGGTTTTACACCTGTATCTATTTTATATTTTCTAACATTTAATATACATAAAATAACTCAACATGAAAATTCTAAAAGTTCGGGTGTTTTCATCTTTTTTCTACTCTTTTGGGTCAACTTTGTTCGATCAATCGTGAAGCTGAGCTGAGAAAACATCACTCGATGTTTTTTCATCAAAGGAAGGGCACAGTTTGTAGAGCGTTACTGGTACGCTTAAAATTCATGAAATGCAATGTCTTAAGCATTGCTTTGATTGTTAACATTTGATATTCAGTCACAGATCACATTTTATATCACTTTGGCCAAAAACTGACTAAAAATGAATGGTGCACCATGTCTAAAGTTTTTTCAAAATTTTATGTAGAAACAACACTCTTTGTGCAAAGTTTGAAAATCAATTCTCAGCTTAAATTCTTAGCTCCAGAATATCCATTCTTAGCCTTCAGTTAGGTTTAATTTAATATGTATAGTCCAAATCTCTTCAAAGTGGAGTATCAGTAACCAAATTCCAAAATAGGTAATAGGTACACCATGTATATCAAACTTTGCTCCTGTAGTCAATATTATTGAACTCATGCTGCATTTTTGGATCTTCTCATTGTTGTACTAAGTGAATTTCACGGAGTTTAATAGTTAGAATTTTAATAATTCCATTCTTTATCCCATTATAATGGTCGATTTTGTCCCTCCCCCTATCACTTTGGAAACAACTAATAATTGGACTGCATTTTGCAATTTGGAACTATAAATTGTGGCTCCTCTAGAAAAACACTTATGTGCATAGGGAAACTAATGGCACATACGTTGTTCTTAAACCGGGCTAGAATCTATAGGTCCAAATTGCAAAATGTAGTCCAATTAACCTATGTGTTGAATTTTGAACTTTGTCACATGCCTCTTTTTCTGCTTAAAATTTTGGAATGGACACGTGTGTACTAAGATCTGGTCTCCTACACCTCAAATGTTGCCTCCAAAAATTTTCCAAGAGAAACAGTCGACTAAGAAGAGTATCTTAGTCAGATGCATGGTGTTTAAGACCTGAAAAATCTAGAATTCACCTGGGTGTATCAAGAAATGAAAAATTTCTCGGGAATTTACAATGAATTCGGTGAAATCGGAGTTGAAAACCGAGAATTTTTTCTGCTATTTCTGCTCCTGGACAATTCCGTTTATAAATTTGGCTATCGGTGTATTCAAGAGTCAGGAGAAGATTCACGTACCCAAACTTGAAACTTGTCCTACACAAAACTTACACCTCGCTGCAGTTTGCACTGGAATTCTCAAAAATGTTTGGTATCTGCCCTTTTTTTGAAATTGATCAACGACTTCTGGGGCTATACGCGGGCTCTCGAAACACTAATAACATGGACAATAACATATTCACATATTATATTTGTGTGTGCTCATAATGTGCTATTCTGCACACTATGAAGGTCTCAAGGGGAACGAGGTCGACGGTCTAATTTGTTGAAGTGGGAGCCCTTATAGGAACAATTCATGATGGTTATCAGATAAATCCCAGATTCTCTGGTGAAAGAGCATTTGTACCTAAAAGCTTTTTATTTAGCGATTTTCTTCTTGCATGGCTCAATGATCGGGAAATTGCTTTTGGATCTCTGATTATGGAAATTTATGGCTAAAACTTTGTGTATATAGACATCAAAGTACAAAGAAATTATCTCAGCAATTTGTGCGACTTTCGGAAAATAGCATGTAGGCTCAAACAAACTCTGTCATCCAAGTGAGACCTCTCTACTTTTATATGTGATGATTGAAAACGGAAAAATTTAGAAAACATACTTCTGAGAAAAAGGTGTTCAAAGGTTTCAGTTTCACGGTGTTGGAAGTTCAAAAACGGAGTCTCTACGCATGACATTGGTGGCAGATAATGCAGATTTGGCGCGGAAACCTTTTGCCAGTTCTATTAAAAATCCCCCTGTAACTAATAAAAAAATAACCTACCTTTTCTTTTTCTTCTGTCTGCATTATTACATAATGAGACTTCTCTCTGCTTTAAACTTTTGATCGGCTCCTTTCAACTAATTCTGTGAACTTCTGGAGAAATCTTTTGCGGGAGGTGCACTGCTTATAATTTTTGGTAAGTTTTCTTCAATTCTGATCGCAATATTACTACAATTTTAAATTTCGTCCCGGAAAGGACTTTCATCTCTTTTAAAACCAAATTGCATGAGGGTTTTGGGTGAGGTGATCTTGTATTCTGAATGATGACTAAATTTTAATTTTCTTTTACAAGGGTGATCCAAAAATAAGTTTTCCCTTTGTCATATCTGTCTAACTATAGTAGGTAAATCAAAGCAGTAAAAAGTTATGCATCAGACATACTCTTAGTTTTGAAACAAGCACAAGATTTTGAAAATTCAACCTGGGATTCTCAAGGAGACTGATTCCCCAAGATCATTTACTGTCGTTGCATCACAATCAATTGAAAACACATTGATTGGTGAAGTTTTGATATTTGATGAGAATGTGATGTAATGAGAAATTTGTCCATCAGAATCAGATACTTGACTCAAGATGGATGGAGAGGAAACTAGCACTGATGTTTGCAAACGTACGTAAGAAAACTGATAATTCCCTGACCGATAATGGAACTGATGAACCAACCTATCAAATCAAAGCTGGGAGTAAAATAATCAAAATAAACTCAACTTTTTTGAGTTCGGCTGTCTTTACTCTCAAGGGAAAAATTGACAAATTTTAGTTCAATTTGTTAAAGTAAGGGGAGTTGGAAACGCAAGGGTTTTAGTCAATTTGAGTTTTCTCACTAATTCCAGGATAGATTTTCAAAATTTTGGACTTAACACGAAACTGAGAGTATGTTTGGTAAGTCTCTTTATCGATTTGATTCATCTTTTTCAGTTCAGAAGATGCAAAATAGGGAATCTTACTTTCTAGATAATTCTTGCATTTTTATTTTACGAATTAATTTCTATGGTTCTCAAAATGTATTCTTTTATACAGATTTCTGTTCTGTTAGTTACCATTTGCCGAGTAATCCAAACATTTCAAAACTATTCGCAATTCTCTGAAGCACCTGTGTCGGCTCACAAGATCAGAATAATTTTACTGTTGCTAAATGAAATATTTTGACCTCTCCGTTTTTAAAAATGAAAACTTTAAAACTAGGGATGAATCTATTTTACTTTGTAAATGTTCAGTAATTTTTAAATAGCCTATCAAGGTTGTAAGATTTTTGAGTGCTTAGAAACTTCGCTCTCATTGACATATTATAATTTACTTTTAAAGCCCTTTATTCTCTGGTTTATGTACAACAAAAATCTCCAGATTTAATCCTGGTATTTATAACTTTTCAGGTCGTTTGAAGTTTCCACAGACACCTGTTTACTGCTCCATCTGCTATCGAGAGTTTGTAAGCAAGTACAACTTACGAATCCATTTACGTGATGTCCACCATGAAAGAGGACCTTTCAGTTGCCCAGTCTGTTTCCGTACAGTGAAAAATAGGAGTTGTCTCCGAGTCCATGTCTACAAACAGCATCGTAAGAAAGACCTTGAGACAGAAGTTGCTGAGCAGAAATGTTGAAGCTTCTATCAGGTAAATAGTCAAAAGTTTTTTAGTTCTCTTTCTGGACCAAAACGTGCATTACCTGTCTGTGCAGATAAATCCTACTAATGTAACTAAAAATCTAAATTTGACGAACTTTGCTTTTTTCTCAAATATAACAAAAGTGGTGAATTTTTTAAATCATTATTTCTAGTTAACTTGTACTTGTTGGTCCCTGAAAAATTATTGTTTTGCTACTGAATGCTATCATTACTCTGATCCAAAGTTTTACTCATTATATTCTCAACAAGTCATTCATGTGCAGGGGTGCAGAAAGTTTTTTGGCTGCATATTTATTGAAGCAGCCTAGACAAATTGTAAGGCTGTCCACATAATACTTCCTTCCCTTCACGTTTTTAAGTCAGCCTTCACATTGCTGTCCACATGAGACAGAGCGCCTAACTATTTTCTTTGCATAAAACACAAATTACAGTTTCCTTTGCCAAAAGAAATGCAATTTGCAGTTTGCTGAACGAATAACTCGTTTAATAGTTTCAGTCACAAAAAGTAGCGCTGCCTTCCGATTTATCCCCCTTTACAGGTTTCTTTTTATTTCAAATACCCCTTTTTTGGCGGTCTTTACTTCTTTATTATGAACGATGGCGATCAAATCGGTCATCTGGTCGCGGAAATTTTGCACCTCTTACTTGGCTAATCATTGTGGAACTGTGCACTTATTCCCATTTTCTATTTTCAATTAAATTAAATGGTTAGATTGAATGAAAAATTATGTAGATAACTAGATTTAGTGCAGAAGAATAGAAAAATATTTAATATTTTTTCCCCTCTTTTTCAGTTTTTCCAGACCGGTCTTTCCTCCTTCAGAATCTGACAGAGCTCCTTGCAAGAAGAAGCTTCTCTACAACGATTTTATTTTGTGAAAATTTTCCCCTTTTACAATTATCTGTTGGTGTTTTTATGTGGTTCCTTTGTGTTCTTTTCATTAGAGCACAGATGCGTTTGAAATCGCATCATCGCTTAACCATTTGCAACATACCTAATTGTAGTCTAGGTATACCTCAGAAATGTCAGTGATTTCGGTTTCAGATTGATTTTTCATCGCAAATCACTGACTGATTACCATTATCTCTTAACTTTTGTGACACTAAGACTTTTTCTTGTCCATAAGGTAAAATTAAAATATTTTAAAATGTTTCAGCCTCACTACTTAATAGTAATTAATTTTAAAAAAAAAATAAAAAAATAAAAATGGAAAATAAAAATCAGTATAACTAGCTGCTTTTCTAAATTGTTCAGAACTGTTAAGCATTAGCAACACATTTTAGCCTTGCAAAGAAGTTAGAAAACATCATATTCCTTGAAACATGCGAGATCTCAAACTAAAAACGATTACACTTACGTTTGTAGGCTTCATTAGTTATATAAACAAAGAGAAAAACGTTGTGAAGTACATACTGCTGTGTAGCTGAATAAAATTAATTAGTTAATTTTTATTGAATTAAAATTTAATTTCTGGCCTCTCTTAGTGTC